CTGCGTGTTTCCCGTGAATTTCGAATTTTTCTACCCCGTTGCTGGAAGTAATAACGAAGAAATATTATGTGCCGCTCTTTTTATCTTAACGGGGGAATAATTTTTTTGGAGAATCTCTTGTATCTTACACAAATACGTTATGCAAAGCAATTTTGAAGAGGTAACCTAGGGGGCTTCCCCGGGGGAGTAATTCGAGCTTGACCTCACAAATATCTGCGAGTATGTGTATAAAATGTTCCTGCACGGAAATTGGATTGTTATTTTAAAACGTACAGAGCGATACATAGCGACTAAATCGCGAGCCTTCGCCATTATTATTTGGACACAATAAATTTTCAGAAAGTTTATGTAGTTTTAGAATGCAAAATAGATGCGGCAGATACACGAAATGGATGTATAGAACATGCATAAAATGCAGATTGAAATATAAAGAGTAATTTCTTAATCTTCTTGCGTTGTTTACGATACCGGTTGAAATTCGGATATCATAAAAAATACCTCTCAATCTCGATTAGTTTGATAAATAATATTCACGAGGAGAATTTCTGTACAAAAGAATTCCCTTAGCGTTATAAATTGAACGGCGTAATCAGGTCGTGAGCGAAAGATGGCAATGACGATATCTTTATTGCATTTATGACAAGCCGATATCCAGAGGGATTACAACGATTACACAAATACCGTGAAAGTCTCCGGGCGTCTAAGCTGCACGGCAGTGGCTCTTACTTGCGGACATGATTGGCAGATCGCTAGTGGGAGGTTAACAAGGTATTGTTTCTATAATCAAGCGAGATGCTTTACGAGCGACCTGCACGACTCACTTTTCTGTTTTAATTAAGATAAAGGTACGCGAATAACAGGTTGCTGAATACCAACGAATTCTGCTTGACACGTAACATTGATCCCTGCTGCAATCGATAATTTTACATATATTCAAAATTGACAAATGTTTATTGGCTGCATGCATTATCAAACGTCGAACGGTGCGTGTAAATAGCTGTACGATATAAACAATTTTAGATGAATTTTGTTCATAAATTTAATAGATTAATGTAATTAATTTTTTTCATAATGTTTGTGATACCTGCTTTGCACTTGCAGAATTAGTGTTAAAACAAGGGAAAAAATGAAATATATATAAAACTAGAATAAAACACACAACGTATATAAAAATTATCGGCGCCACCTTTCGTTTAATTAATGGCGCAAAAATGTTCAGCTTTTACATCGACACGTAAAATGCAGCTGCCTTTCGGCTAACGTGTATATGTCACATGCACTTTGTTTCAGGCTGCAAGCTCTAAAGCTGTAAGTACGCGGAATCGATCGATGTACACCTCGCGTTCGTGAGAACAATGCAAAAAAAAAATTGCACGTTTGGAGGTATGACACTGGCCGATGGCAGGGTCGCAACACGAATAACGATAGTACGTGCGATATTGCGGAGAAATTGTACGATAATTATACGAGTGCGCCTGTGAATAATTAACCGTATGGTAGCACTTACGATGCGCTTGCGCTCGCCTTGAATAACGTTGGTACACACAGCATATTTCATGAGATTTCGCGAAACGGCAAGTGTGAACATTCGTACATACGGCAAAGTTATCTGCATTTAGATATTGTCAGATATTACGTGGAAAAATCTAATCGATATAGTACTTTAACATTGCATTACAAGATCTCTTATTTGCTTCTACTCTTAATGCGCTATACTTGAAATCTCCGTTAAAAAAACATTATATGTACGTGTACTTGCAAATTTATCGTCTTATGTAATTATTCACTTTTACTCTTATGAGGTTACTGCATTGCACTTTTGACCACAGTTAATGAACTGGCATAAAATCACTTTTACTGTTACAGTAATAATCGATGACTGAGCCGGGGCAGTAGGCTTTCTAGAGACGTATAACAATCACAAGTAGATTAAAGCTGACAGGCACACCGCAACGACAGGGTGTGTCGCAGTGAAAAACTCCCATTGAGGAAATAAGTAGGCCGACAAACGTGCATTGAGAAAGTTTGTAGACATTTCCTGTATTCTTCAGTGCGCAGTGCACAGTTGACTATTGTAGCAAGTTGCTATACAAACGGGAGATCATTCTTCTAAATTGTAAATTGTTCTTGCAATTAAATTGTTCGTGTAATTATATTTCGGTTCCGCGTAATGCATCTTTATGACATATCTCTCTCTCTCTCTCTCTCTCTCTCTCTCTCTCTCTCTCTCTCTCTCTCTCCCCCCTCTCTCTTTCTCTCATCATAAAAGATGATTAATTTTCTTACCAAACAACAGAAGCTTGTAATCTTGATATTTTTTATTTTAATAAATAAGTTTACGTAAGAAAACATAATAATTTTTTCTATTTCTTACAAACTAAAAGATAAAATATTAATAAAATGGCAGAATAAAAAATCTATTATAAGTAGTGCGGATTCATATTGGTATCTTTCTTGAAAATGGAGATGCATCTTCTTACGCAACAATGTCTTCATACAATGGAGAAGCAGCAACAACAGATCTACGTAACTCTACCGAAAAATAGAAGTAATCGAAATGATACTTCCTATTTATCAATGTGAGAGCGCGACATCTGCAAATTAGCGCGACTCGTCCTCCCGGATATCACGACTCATCTCCAGCCGCGTTGGAACCGGACCGACGCGCGCGAAGTAAAAAGATTGATGACGTGTCCCCGATCCGTGTATACCCTCGCGAAACGGGCGATGCAAAATCTTTCATGACTCGCTAATGTTTTGTAACAGTTCTTGTTCTGGCACAAACGTTGATAGATCGTTTCATTGACCAGCGACGAGATGAAGCTCGTCCGTCGTTCGCGAGAAGAACGATCGGTGCGCGATCAGGACGCGATAGAAACGAATGAAAAAAGAGCGGGGGCTGGGGGGGGGAGGGAGGGAGGGAGGAAAAGCGAGAAAGAGATAGAGAGCGGCGGGGAATGAGCGGAGAAAATCGTGGCAAGGTTGGTGGAGCGATGGGTAGTAGGGTATCTGCCTATTATTCACGCGCGAGATAGGTCGAGGGGGTGGGGGTTGATCTAGCTCGATCTATGAGAGCCCGGGGGTGAGGCCAGACTTAGAAAGGTGGGTTAGGGGTTCGTGGTGAATTCTTATAAATCAAAACAGACACGCTATCCCGTCTCATAGGGTGTTTCCACCCTTTCTTACGCCGCGGCGTCTATGCCTTCTTACTTCCTTACCTGGCCGACTGTTGGAAGTATAAAGGGAATGGAAGAAAATAAAATATGACAAGGGACGTGAAAGCAGGTGTCGGAAGAAATGGTAGAGGGAGAAAGCGCGGCGCGACATATCGGATGTTGATGTATTATTGAGTTTGTCGCGTATTATCGGTCGCTACCCGGTATCGTTGACAAGGGTGGCTGTCGAGAGGAAAAAAAATTGTCGGCGCGAGATATCGATGTTCAAACAATGAGCAAGGGACGCGTTTGTACGTTAGCCGCACTGATACAGATAATGATAAATATACGCGACAGGTGACTTATTCAATTATTAAATTAAATACCATTACTTTCGCCATTACATTATCTCTTGAACTTAACAGCCTTATCGTTATTGAAATCGTGCGTTTCCATTCTTTTACTTATGTAAACGACGTTCGCTTATTCATGCAGCGTCTCGTCAAAGATTCAATGGCAATATAACGTTTAGAAACATTATAATCATGTGTGAAAGAACTATAATTCTGCCGCTCTAAAAACTTATGCACAATGTTAAAGAATATTCCCCTTTAAACACGCTACCATTATCCGCGACATGAGATCGGCAGCTATTATGAGAAGTCTTCCTCGAGTTACTAACCATCAGTATTAGTTTATATCGCGATATTATACGTATAGCGATATTCGCCATTGAAAACAGTTTACTACGCATTGCCGCGGCATACGGTTATGAGAATAATGTACGCCGCACTCGCATGCACGCTGTTACGCCGCTATTTCTCTGAATAAGACATCAGCTTTGGACGTATTTGGGTAGTGAATATTTAATGTTATCGATATTGCCTTAAAAGTCGTTTGTGCGGAAACGGGCGTGGAACTGTTTAGTATACCGTACAGCGCCTCGCCTACTACGTGAAATTGATTCGAATTTTTCGAGAGAAACGCCGTATTTAGATTTTATCTACTCCGGGGTTAAAAATGCAAGTACAATCTCGTGCTGGACTGCGCGAGGGAAATGCGATGGCGTCGTGTTATGAGCACAGGCATTCTCGTGTTACATTAATGTAATTAAGAATATTGTAATCCTAAATGTAACTCAGTCCGCACAATATAATTATGTGTCTCCGCGCGACGCAACGTAATAAATGTGCGTGAATATGTTTGGCTGGAACAGAGCTTCATTGTGTCTTGGCCGGAATAGTCGCCGTGCTGAAACACATGTGCGATATCACGGTTGCACAACGCACAACGACTTGCCTAGCAAAGGTCTTGATAATGTTAACAAGATCGTAACCGCGAAAACTTTTTATTTTTGCTCCGTCTAATATCCTCCTTCTCATTTTCTCTTTAAATGTGCTGGATCTAATCGGTTCGAAACATGCAACCGGAAAGATCCTGCCATTATCTATCCGAACGAGCTCTTATATCTCAGTAAACGATGAGCAACGATTTGGCTATTTTTGTATCCAGCACCTAATATCTCACAGCTGACATCAGAACGTGTCTTATAACAGTTGTCTCATCTGCATATGATGTATTTCAACATCAATTTCTACATTTATTTATAGAATATCTAAATCTCTTTGTAGAAAATGTTTTTCGCTACGTGTAACAAACTAAACCGGATCCTTTCGCGAAATATCCCCGATTATTACACTTTACCAAATCTACCTCCAATCTATCTCGGGAGAAGAATTTAATTGCCGAAACGCGCGGGGGAAAATCGAGGGAATCGAACATCTGCAATCGCCATCGCGGCAGTCACACAAACGGAGAAATGTAGAAAAGACGAAGAAAACTTACGGGGGTTCTGGACGTGCACAGGAGACGGAGGGTTCGTTCGCGTGACGACGACCGGAGGAGGCATCTTGGCGTGCAAGGCGGAGAGGCATGAGTTTGCCACGTCGTAGATGAGATAAGCACCGTAGTATCGGCCCGCACTGCCCATTTTCAATTTATTCTTACCGGGCGCAACCGCCATTTTCGCGTATCACAGCCACAGATACAGCCGCATCCACTTGGCGCGCCGATTACCACTTCTCTCACTCGATGATCGACCGCAATTATCCGGCTGGACCTCCGACGAGATCAGAAAACGTTGCGCCGGACGATCATCGTGATCCTTAATTTTGGTATCGTCCTCACAATAAATTCCTTGTCCCGCTGCGACCGTGGACGTTGAGGCGACGCATGCCTCATTTGTTATCATCCCGCAACATGAATTTCACATTCTCGTTAGGGATAACGCGGAGTATATTGCTGTAAAGCATGGAGACGATATAGCTTCCGTGCGTTGAATATAAATTGCAAACGACCCTTTTTTCCGTAAATATACATGACAAATTTGTAAAAAGTAAAATGAAAATATACGCGCGTTTAATGGATCACTATAACGACACAATGGCGCTAATTAATTATTATGTTAACGTTTCACCATTCTAATACCATTCTTTTCGATTCCTCAGCATTCTAACTGTCGTCGAAATTGGCCGATAAATTGCAAACTTTCCTTCCCGCACATGAAATTACTGTATCGCAGCCGCCGATTAGCGCACTTTTCAAGACAATGAACCGGTCGTTAATCTCGCACGTCAACTCGTACGGTAGGTTAAATAACCGACATTACTCGCGGATCACATGCACGGCAATTCGATTCTCCGCAACCACGGCGAATACCACTTGGAACTAATTATCCTGGCGCGCGCAAATATTCCGTCCTTGCATTCTCGTGACGAAGCGTTAGCACTGATCTCGATACCGCTCCTCGAACGTGGGGCCTCGATATACCACGACGCTCGGCGGTCGGGATCGGTGGGCTGGGCAGCCGAACGGAAACGGTGCGGTTCCGTGGACCGGAAGCCTGAACCGGAAGCGTCACGAGTCAACGGGCGCTTCTCTGATTGCACGCTGCGGTCGCGGCTAGATAAAAATGTGCCCGTGTGCCATTTACGTAGTTGGGACTCGATTCCACCGAACAGAGGAGCCTCGCGATCGCGTAATCCTGCGCGAGGCCTCGCTGCGACTAAATTGAATTTCTACGCGGCCACGAAGGAGCGGCCGTGTTTAATAAACTTCAGATACGCGGTGTTTGACGGAGTTTTTAATTGCCGGCCGCATCGTCGCGCGCTGACTTTCACGTTAAAACAATAGGAATAAACTGCCCTGTCCCAGCGATATGTATTATCGCGCCGTCGTGCTTCCCGGAAACTTAATACGTGTGCTACGTAACAATAGCCGACCGTATTGGTCAATTTCGCGGCTAGTTTATCGCCGAGTAAACAAGGCGTTGTTAAATATGCATAAAGACACCTCTTGATGTATTAAGAATTCAGTAACGCGTAACTTCAATACTCGTAACTTTGTGAATGGTCCAGACACTAGCACAGCGCGAAATACATTACGTCCCGTACATCGTTACAAATAATGTATCTTGAAAATCACGTACAACTGAGATTTTTAAATCGCACAATTGAGCCTTTAACTCACGAAAACACAAGAGTGTGAGATGAAATTATTATCACGCCATTTATTAGGTATAAGAATAGTGTAAGAATCAAAGAATGAGAAAAATGCAATTGTCTGTTCAGCACAAATTCTTAACTCGATAGTTTAAAATAAAAATGCTGACGTCTCCCCGAAGGAGAAGAGAAAGAAACAGTAATTGTTGTATACTAATAATAAGCGTATAATGTTGGAAAGCTGGCTAAGAGTATCAGCAAAGTGTTTACATCGTTACGATGAAATTTCATATTAACGTCTTTATAAATTTAAGCTCATTTTAATCTTGTTGCCGAGAGTTACAGGAGCTAGAATTAAGATGCACGTTTCGTGCAAAGTTATGAATCGTCTGTATTGATTTTCGAGGCGTTACGTATTGTTCAAATTTTAAGTAGCTTGGCGATGAGCCAAACGCTACCGTTTATCAGTCCTATTTGTTAACGTCGCTTTGCGTTTGTTAACTTGTTCGTATTGCCTGCGTATTTCTCTTATCCGTAAATTGCTTCGAAAATTGTCAAAAAAAAAAATTAATTGTACGCAGAGAACGTTAAAAGAGACTGCAAGTTATACGAATATATATGTTTCGAAATTTGTCATCATATTCATTGATAAATGCGATATAATCAAACTGTGTTAAAACGATTTACGTTCTTAACAGAGATCCGGTTTTTTATCACGGTGCACAATTAAATTCATAAATGACATTGCAATATTACTGCAAAAGTGGTACAATTGTAACGAGCTGCAAGGGTTACAAATGCGTATTTAAAAACGCGCTATGATAAAAAAAAGCCGGGGGAGTCTATTGAAGCAAAATGTAATAACACGTTCATGATTGCGAAACAATAATCATCGTTACCTGAAATTACGATATTTTGTAGCGAGCGATATTTTATTTCACTAGTTCTTTGACAACAAAGCGTTCTCGTTTTTACTTTGACGTGCGTTTATATTCAAAGTAAAACAGGCAATATTAATTCGATCCGAATAGTAGATGCGCTTTGTGGTGGCGTACGACTCTGTTGCACCGGGCAGACGCAACATCGGATTGCCGTATAAAAAATGTAATTGCAGCCCCAAAATAATCCACGAGTTCCGCGGCTGTTTGTACCGCGGTGTTTTTATATCTGCCCGCGGTCGGCCGTCTCTGTCCCGTTTTCAATAATTAATACATTCATATCCGGTTATGCGGACGCGTTCTATGCGCATTCCCTATGCATTCTCCCACCGCTCGCTCACTCTATCCAAATGGTCATCATCGCCGTACCCACACGCGCCGTATGCTGATCATTACCAACTGAAACCTGCGCTTCTGCAAACAATAGGCATCGTCGTACGGTCTTGCTTGAGCTGTCGCGTCGCGCAATTATCGGAATCGATTATATCTATCGGATGGAACTGCTACGGTACACGGTCGAAACGTGCGAAAGTCGAAGGGCGAGACGCAACCCGTATCGCCGAGGCACTGGATTCCCGTCGCGAACTGCCGACGAAAACGAAATTTTGCCAATTCGTTCGCGTTACGAGGACGGTTCAAGGCGCACTGCGTGCGCGTCTGTGAACGGCCGTCGTCGGAACCCACACACATTCGCGCTTATCGCTCTTATATTATGTGCATAAGGCCGTATGCAAACACAGAGACATTGGCGAAACAATTACAAAGAACCAATGGCAAGCGCGTACGTTTTTTCCATTTTTTGTCTCCTATTTCGTTTTTATCGAGTGTAATAAATGAGAGAATGACCACGTGAAAGTAGAATGCGACAACACAAAGAGCGTTACGTCAGTGCGTCGTTAAGAAAAAATATGGGAGCATCAAGTTGGGGCAAAGTAGTGATAGATCATCGCGGCATGTTTAAATTTTACGTTAACTTTGTCCTCAATGTAGGCCAACTTTTACTCCATTCTTTTACGTGTTATTGTTGAATGAACTTCCAACAAGTAGGGACAATCGCAAGATACAAAGTTTTCTAATGAAAACTTTTCTATTTGTACGTGCAGTTGCGAATAAAAATTTTTTTTTTCTTCGCAGTGTATAAAAAATTTACGATTCCAAGATTATTTATGTAATGTTAAATAAAAAATAACCGTGTGCTATATTGATAGTATCAGATAGAACAATAATAATGTTAATTAATATCTCATTTTGTCTAAGTTTGAATTTATAATAATGCCGCAACTTTCTTGTAATCTTCAATGTTCTTCAATTATCGAACGATTGAAATTTAACATCCCGACGAGAATGTTCGATTTTTTTAGGGTTTCAGCCGTGAAATATATTCATACTCTGTTCACGAACGCTCTCCTCTCGAGATTCAGTTTTTACCCCGTATTTCCTATATATTTTTCCTTATCTCGTTTTTACATTTTTATCATATCTCGACTCACACGCACGTCCGCTTTCGTCGGGCTTGTCGCTTCGTTTTCGTGCGCGGCCACTTCAGTATGCACGCCGTTTCTAAGTGCGGCTCTTCGTATGTGCGTCACACACTCGTCGTCGTTGGTACACGGTCGACGGGCGTATCGGATCGTATCGCACACGGAGAAACAACGCGGCTCGGTTACAACGCGAACGCACCGGCGACAATAGCACCGGCGCGACGGGACGCGCGACAGGAAGGTGGCCGTATCAAATGCTTAACGGTCATGCCAACACAATACCACGTACGTGCATACACCGATACCGCGGTCGCGAGCACGATTGTCGGCGCATCGGGCGCGGGCGCACATTGTTACTTCCGTCGCGAAACGCTTGACCACGAGCGCTAATTTCACCGGCACTTCGCAAATCAGGTCTTGAACTGTCTGCGACGTGCGATCGTACGATTCGCGTAACGCGAGCGCCAAGTCTGTTCGTTTATGGATATTTGCGCTCGCGTCGGCTGCGATATAACGAAAGGGAGATGGGCGAGTTGCTATCTTCCACTTTTCCGCGGTAGGAATGTGCTAATCTTTTTTTTTCCCGTGTAGGTATAAGCAACTTAATAAAATTATGAAAGTTAAAAATACGTTTCCCTAGAATATGCGAGAGTAAAATTCTGCGAGAAAGATACGTAAGAAGTGTATATTACGGAGGAAATCTTACAAAAATATTATTTTAATCAACTCTTCTCTCTCTCTCTCTCTCTCTCTCTCTCTCTCTCTCTCTCTCTCTCTCTCTCTCTCTCTCTCTCTCTCTCTCGACAAACTTTGTAACACGCTATGTCTCTGCCCGCGGATACGATGTTTTGCTGTCGCAGGAGCTATGATCATAAATGCATACTGATTAATATATATGATCTGCAATGTCCAAACATTTCATATAGTCATCAGCGGATTAAATGAAAACGGAAATGACGTCAACATTGTTCCGAAATTAGATGCACACAATGCCTGGTATAAATACACGTGAGCACGTGAGCCGGGGACATTGTTATTCCCCGGTGCAACGCTCGACCACGTTACAACGCTAATTTCAAAGCGTGCTGTTAGCGAGTTGATGTAATTTATGATCGCGAAATATAGACGTGATCGGAACATTCGTGCGTAGCGTTCACAAAAGATACTGTAAACGGTGTAATCGGATAAAAGGGGAAATTACTGTTTTTCGACATGTTTCGGCGAAAATATGAAATCACATCCTAGCCAGGTCCGGCGTGTAAAGGAATAACCAAAACAGCGCTGCGCAGTTTGGAAGACGGAATTATCGTCCTCTCTCGTCTGTGCTACTTTAACGATTTAATCTATGTGCGGTACGTTTACACCGTCTCACACTAAGCTGATCATAAAATAATCTTTAATATCCAGTATCTAGAATCGATATCAGCACGGTATCTCGAAACTTTCGAGAGCCACTTCGCATTACGATGCATTTAATTGCCAAATAATCGTTAGAAAGACTATGAGACCACGAATTAATAGTCATAGGTGCTTTTATCGGCTTGATGAGGGTAGACAGTGAATATAGGCTAATGGTTAAAGTTGAACGTACCAGTCACAATCGTCACACGAGTGTGTGGTTAACAAGGCAATCGTCTTAATATAAAAATAAAATGAAGGGCCCCAGCGCGATTTATAGTTTCATTGATATTCAGTAAAGTATCGTTATCGGTCTCAATTTTATCGCGCACTATATCTTCATGCGCGTGAGATACAATATTAACTGCTTATAAAAATTCCAACAACTTTCTTACATGTATATAGAAATAGTTTTATTGTCGTAGAACGGACTTTAAGAAAAGTCTTTCGCGGCGGAAAACTTTAAAAAGGATTTCAATAACGAGTAGAAAGTACATAATTCTATCTGCCCTTCTCGCTCAGCGTTCAAAAATATTTCTTCGATGATGTATATTTTATTTATCGCCCCCTTTACCACCAGTTGCACTCGAGGATGCGTTTCTTTCATATCGGATTGCATAAACGTCTTTCGAAGTCGTTACAAGGCCGCTCGCATAGCTCTGCAGATGTATTGTTCTCGGATTCTTAGGTACGAATACACTTACCGTTCGTATGTTACAATTCTCACGAGCGTGGTGTCTCGCCTGTATTTCCCCCAGAAACTTCATCCCCAGACTTTCGCACGTATACGTATCCACTACTCACCACTTACGCGAATACACTCAACAGGTTACTGCGCCCACAGAACTTACTGCTACGGTGTATTCAGTGCGATTTCGTTTTGTTTCTGTAATATACTCCGCGTTTTCTAAAAGTGAATGAGGCGATTGGAAAAGTAAAAGTAAATGGAAAAAGTTGGCGCCGACGAAATTGGAGAAAAACGAGGGGGTTTTTCTTCCCGTTCGAGTTAAACGATAGTCGTCCAAGTTAAATAAGAAATCTTTACATTAAGCAACAATTTATCAATTCAGGCTACAGGGTAATCATGGCAAGCATTTCCGTTTCTATGTTTGCACAGAACACTAAGGATAAACAACGTGACAAAAATATATTGCAAAATGAACGGAGAACAAAATTACATTTAATTCTAATTATCTTAGGCACAATTTAATCGAATGTAAATTATATTTTCATACATTTCTCCTCGATTTTCTCTGCGAAACTTACTTCTTATACCTTGATATCAATTTTCGTTTTATTTGATACTGATCTAAGATTGTGCTATCATCATTGACTGTGACATTGCGGATAATACGCATTTGAGTTACAGACGCAAAATTCCGATCAATGATGATGACAACGGGTAGAGAAAGATGTTGAAAATGGAGTCAGCGGAGATGGTAATTGAGCATTGGTTACAGATTGCGAGGAGCCACGAGAACGAAACGGTCGGGCGAAGGGAAACTGGGTACAGGATCGAAGATAGAGCGGGGCAAAGATAGAAGAAGAGCGAGTTTCGCATTAGGAGTAATAGGCATTATCTCCATCGATCCCGACTCACACTCTACCCCGCTTCTACCACCTCGCCCATCACCCGCCATCTCCCTGGAGCTAGGTGGGTGATTGGTTCGTTCGAACTAACTGGAGAAAAAAC